TTTACAGAGTTGATTGCACGGTGGTATCGTAGACTACTGTGATTCAGGAAGTACGTTGGACTTCGGAGGGCATGGGAGATGCGTAAAGAACTTTCAAGGATGTTTTGCAGCTTTCGCGGGTACATGGACAGCAGAACGTGTCTATATCCAGCTTGTTCGGTATGTGTGTTGACTACATGAATCCGTGGCTCACCTGCGGGTCCAGAGCGAACTTCCTTTTCTTTCTTTTGTTTGCGTCTGGATTTACTCTGCAGACAGGCTGATGGCTAGAATTTTATTCCTTGGGAAGAATGGAAATGCAGGCATGGAGTGGATCAACTACTGTGCCTCTGTTCAAGTTGCTCATTCAGTCGGTGTACCCAAACCGCGTATTCTGCACATTATGCAGTTAGGCAGGTAGCAGCAAGAGGAATAAGAGTGTGCTGGCATCTTGTTCGAAGCTGACAGGTTTATCTGCCGGTTTGTTGTTGTGCTCTTTTAGTGAGTGCGTCAGTTACTATCCCGCCTACGAAACTAATCCGCTGCAGAATATTTAGATAGGTCGCCGTTTTGCCATATTGTCCATCTTTCAATCCGCTTTGTATTTGGTACTCAGCTCCTTGGACCATTGGCCAAAATTCGTCTGGTCGGCTTCACTTCATTGAACCGTCCGACGCATTCAAGAAGCGCATCATGAACCGCATTTCTGGCACATCGAATGCGGTTTGTGGCACTTCTAGTTTTCAAAATTTTTGCCCGATTGGTACTGAGGACGAGCACGTGTTTTCACACGACGATTTTTCAATGCAGTTTACATGGAATTTGTGTTTCACAGTGGTTCTGCACAGTATTGCGATAGTTTTAGTCTTTTGATATCAGTTGCACTAAGCCGGTGGGGTCCAGTTTTGCTTTTTCTCCTCTACGTAGGAAGATGATTGAAGCAATGCAAGTAGTCAAGCTGCTACGGGAGCCACATCGGACATCATTAGATGCCCCTCTGGCAGTAAATGGTGCATACCAAGATTCCTCGTGCAAGCGGAATCCTATCCACGGATATTTATTTGCAGCAAAATATATACGTCTCAACTAATGGAAAGTTTCCATGCGGCTATAAGTGTAATTACGGGAAAAAGAGAAGCTTGCTGCAAGGGTTTTGCTTTATGGGGTGAAAAAGGGGGACTCTGTGGAGCTTGACGCAGCAGTATATCATGCAGTAGTATCCTGACCACTTCTGCATGCTGCATTTCCACCAAGCTTCTGTCTGTGATGAATAAGCGCGACATTCCAGTGCATCCTAACTTTCTCAGGGCTACGGTCACTGCGGCTCAGATACGTCTCAAGACTCCGAATTCGGATGGGCTATTTGTGGCCAACTTGGCGGGGCCATTTCGCGTTCTAACCGCTAGTGCAGACAAACGATACTCTGATATCCGCATACTATTTAATAATATATTACAAAATGGCGCTAAGCATCAAGAATTTGAAGGAAGCGTAGAAGCAGAAGAAGATAAGGGGGAAGCCGGCCCTTGAACAGCTACGAAGGGCATTTAGAATGAATCGTGTAGATTGCAGAGTTCCCTTTAGAATTATGAATAATGCAGACCTGGGAGCTTTGACGTGGTGCAAAATAAAGCAAAACAAGAGAGAAATACGAACAAGCCAACGGGAATTCCACGAGGGTGGCTCTCCAGTTGTAGGTGAAAGAGTGCTGTTATTTCAGAAGCTGTACCAACAACTTTTCACTTCAGCTGCAGACATTTGTTTGATTTCATTACTTCCGCCGAAATCGACTAGTTAAGCATTCTTTGACGGCGTTACAACTTGTCGAACAATGTGTTGCCCAGAGGCCACCTCGTGTGTGCTCAGTATCACATTTGGTGGATAACTCGAGAACTATCCATGATTAGGTCGACTTGGTTGATGACGCTATTCTCGCGTTTTCATTTTACTTGGGCGATTGGTAATTTCAAGAATCTCTAAGATGGACAAGCTAAAAGAAAAGTGTAGGTGGCGTTATGGAGTTGTTCATGGAATGCTACACAGGTATAGACAAAATCAGTGGCTATGCAATAGACGTCGTAACTATTAAAATGTTAGAGAGTTACAATCAGCATAGTCTGGGGAGTGCAGCGCGCGTGAACGTTCAGAGATTCTTCTGACTCTCATCGCCGGGCACCAGCCGTAGTGAAGTTTCTCGAGAAGTAGTATCGCTTTTAGAATATTTATTATTACATTTGATTGCCGCTTTTATTCATGGTTAACGATACTGTGTTTACCGGTATTTTCCCTGGGAGCTGCCTTCTCCGTACGATATAGCCTCAATCATACACATATAAAGCAATCGATTCATTGCTCCCCCATAAAAATTGACTCCAGGGTTGATAATTTTGGACATCGAGCTACCACAATTGCGCCCAAGAGAGAAATGGGGCTGTATCAGGTATCGGTTATATGAGGACACCACTGCAGACTTACTCAAGTATCGGCACATGCCTTCTCAGTAGCTGCTCTTCGTGCTCCACCGATCGAGGAAAATAGTGGCTTCCACTAATTAATATTCCTCAATATTTTACCGAAAGATAGAATTATGCTTATTTGGTTGAAGCTGCCGTAGTTCGCAGCAAACGGCAAGAAAAAACTAATAACAAATGCGTATGAGCAATGATTAACCAACGGTCACCCTTAGAACTCCTTTGCCTCTTCGGAACTACAGAAGGAAAAAATTGGCACCTATCTAAGGGGTTAGCTCCCTAGTCCAAGTTGTTGATATGATAGGTGGGAAGAAGAAATCTCAAGGAGCGCGCTGGCAACGCATGGAGTAAGCAAAAACTCTTTCTTCTAGATTCCAGGGTCTAAAATGCAAGATTCAAGACTAAGCTTTTAAGAGCCTTGGCGACAATGAGGCGGAGATTTTGCCCTGGTAGAGCCGCTCATCACAAATTCTCCACTTTTCGCCATCCATGAGAAAAAGCAGAGTTCAGGCGCAGACCTGACACGAGGGTGATGCCCCAAAATATCGGACCGAGGAAATCGCAGTTACGATTGATGTCCCAAGCGCACTTGATTTCCCAGGATAACGCTTCAGTAGACTAGTGAGCCAGGAAGGTTCAAAGGCACTTCTATGCGACAAGAAGCTGGTATCAACGTGCATGCACATACCTAGAAGTGCTTTCAAAGGGCTTGAGCGAACAGCTCTTGTACCATGATTAAGTGGGTCGTTGGACACAGCAATTGTTTCCTTTAGTTCAGTGAATTAGCCCTACTCGCTAGAGCCACTCTTGCTTCCCCAGTTTACCAAGCGGTAATATGAACGATTGATAATACTGTGCAATCATTCGGCAAATATACGACTGCGGTGATCTTTGCCTAATTTCCACTTTAAAATTTTTCACTACGGTTTGAGAGGAATGTTTACACTTTAGCATCAGCACATACAGCGCCATAAAGGTCTGCAGCATTTGCTGCTGAATTTGGCATTGCTAACGTAAGCCAACATATAAGCGTCATTTTAAGCCACTATGTTTGTACATATACACCACTTAGTCCAAAAATAAATGTTTTACACCATTTTGAAGAGGTGCTTGCCGTATAGTGTTAGTCTCACCCGTCTTCAAGTTGCGTTGAAATGCCTCCTTCACTGCAGAGAAGTTTTCGTTGCGACTCGACAGTTAGAAGACCTCAGGCAAGTGGCGCATTGAAGAAAGTAGTTTCTGATTACGGAAAGTCAGTTTTGCGATAGTAGTGGGGAGCGTCTGTTCCCGGGCTAGCAGCGTTCGGCATCTCAGCAATCAGCGCAGCCTAAAGATACCAACTACTGGAAAGAAGCATGAAATGAGCTGGATTATGAGTTTGACTTTTTTTTTTGCTTTCTATCATTGTTCTGAAGGGGGCCTTTTCATGTTTTCTTGTGGTATCCCATCGAAACCAGTTTCAGAGGCCAACTGCACAGAACATAGCAGACCCCTGCAAACAGTACTAAGGGGTTGTGTAACCGTGTTCGTGTTTTACCAGCCTTGGGAGGCAAGTTTGTATTCGATGGCAGTTGTCCCTCGAGCTCGGCGGACAGCTTCGCGGCTAAACCTGAACTGAATCGTGTTCCTGTCCACACATCCCCCCACTTTCCAGACGTTCGTTAATTGGTGCCTACGGTTGATTGCAACAACTGAATTAACTGTGTACTGACTATCAAAGTAAAATGCTGTAAACTCTTCTGCCTCCGGTTTGGGCTATGCTTGTTTCGAGAGTAGCCGATTCTGGCCGTCCATCATTGTGTCCATCATTCTTTCCAGGACCCCTCACTAGATAAAAACGCTGGCTATTGCCAACTGAGCAGCGTTTATGGCTCGTGATTTAGTGCATCGATGCGTTTGATAGAAACAATTCAAATTTGGACCACGCTGGATAGCTGCCCGGAGTACGCAGTCTCATAGCGACTTCGGCATTGACGGCAATTAATAGCAGCAACAGCTGGCTTTGTTTCTGCTACTTTTAGCCGCTACCGTTGAATGCACATCGTAGCGCAGGGACCCGCGTTCCAGAGCTCTCGACCGTAGGATTGCTCCTGTGTACTTGAGAGTGAAATACTCCGTAGTTAAGAGGTAGCCATTCCTAATCTACTGAGCTACTTGAAACAAAAGTAACAATCATTCATTTAAGTTTTGCTTTCGAACCAGAACTGAAGGCCTATGGGTTGAGGCGGCCACGACGACTTGAAAAAGTAGTGGTCCTTCTGCCTGTGGTAAGCTACAGCCTTCTACCCCTTCAGCCCTGAATATACCGTTGCAGTTAATAATTTGTTTTATTTTTTGTGTCTCATGTATCAATTTGGTCCTTGTTGAAATACGGTTTAGGGTTTTAGGTCCCGGGTTTGTCCAAATAGCAGCGCGGCGTGCGTTCAACAGTGACCTTTAACTTCCAGCGCTTGTTACGGCTATTTATCGTAATCCAGTGCCATTTAGCTTGCTTTGAGAGTTTGGCTCAACGCCCAGGCTTTAGGGCTCAGGGTTGAGGCCTCAGCCGACATGGCGGAGCTCAAATCGGCCCTTGCCACCAGGCGGCAGAAGGGCCAAGAGGAACAAGTGTACGAGTAAGCAGTGAGGCGTAAACCCTGAAACCTAAGCCCTAGAGATTTGGCCATCTTCCGTAGCTCTTTTGCCCAAGATATCCCTGCAGATTCATGGGGGCCTCAAGGCAAAACCTCAACAGAAATGTGTGAAGCTGCTAGTGTTTCAGGGGTTACGGCAAACGGAAATTTAGCTTCAAGGAGGGGAAAAGGGGCGCTCACCCGGACCCAAAGAAGCTCCTTCAGTCAATGCAAGTACAGGGCATCGAGGCCCCCACGGACCGTATGCCCCCTAGGGTTTAGGGTTTAGGGTTTAGGGTTTAGCTTTAGGGGTCGGGCGCATTGCCTGAAAGACACTTCAGGGTGGCGCTGGAACTGAGTTTATGAAGTTACATTTTCAAAGCACACAGTTTAGGGTTTAGGGTCTAGGCCCTGCGGGTTTTCACAGCAATCGACCCTGAGGATGATGAGGAGGAGCAGAAGAAAGGCAACACAGATGACTCCTCTAATCACCAAAAGGGGCAGCAAGAGCAGCAGGAACCGGAGCAGCAGCCGGAGGAGCAGCAGCAGCAGCAGCAAGGGGAACAGCAGCAGCAGGAGGCATCCACATCAGCGAAACCTCAACAAAGTGCTGGGCAGAAGGAAAAGAAGTGGCCCCTTCAGTTGTCACATCGTTATGACTGGGTAACGCCGAACACCATCTCCCCTGAACCCTTAAGCTTAAGCTTAGACCCTGCACTTGGGGAAACTTTCGTGTGCTGCAGCATCAACAGCAGCAAAGCAGCAGGGGCAGCATATATAGCAGCAAAACGGCAGCAAGCCAGCGGCAGCGGCACTTCTTATGGAGTGGTTCTAATGCAAACGCAGCTGCGCTGAGTGGCTTTCGCTTCAAGGAAGTTTGATTGCCTTCCTGCTGCTGCGGCTTCTGCTGTCCTTGCTGCTGCTGCGACTGCTGCTGCTACAGAAGAGTAGGGAACTTTCTTTGCCAATGTTTGCTAAAAACGAGAAGAGCCCTGAGGTGCAGAAGGCGGCGAGAGCTTTAGCGGCAAAATATCATTTGCCTTCTCAAGTTGCTATCCGCATTGCTCTGCTCTACCAATTTGAATATGACAACATAGGTAGGCCGTCGCTGCCATTGCTGCTGCTGCTGCCTTGTGCTTTGCTGCTGCTGTATGGCTCTTTTGCAGCCTGTTCCTGTGGCGAATGTCGCATAATGTGTTTGTTGCTGCTGCTGCTGCTGTTGCTGCTGCTGAACATGGCGATTTGAATCCCGGGTGCGGCCGCTGCTGTGCGTGACATTTGCTGCTGATAGTGCTGCAGCTGCTTGTTGCCTCTTTTCTGCTCTTTGCTCTGGTGCTGATGCACTTGTTGCTGGTGGCGCAGCGGTTTATTGTTGCTCGTTCACTTTCTATTGGCTGCTTGTGTCGATGCTGCTGCTGGTGCTGCTGCAGTTGCTGCTTCGTGCTACTGCTGTTGCTGCAGCCGCGACTGTTCTCTTGCTGCTGCTTTTCGTGCTGCTGCCGTCGCTGTTGCTGCCGCACCTGCTGCTGCACGGTGGGGTGTATGTACATTTGTCGTCTCGCGCAGGCAAGATGATTGCAGACATTTATTTGGAGGCGATACAGCTGTTGACTGCGTGAGTTAATGCTAGAAGCCTAGCAGTTCGAGGGCGAATGCTTATGACTTATTCGTTAAACCCTCATAATTGTGGTTCCCTACACCCTAAACCCTCGTTCTTAAACCCTAAACCCTAAACTCCGAAACCTTATCGGTTTCCTCCCCCGTGTCCCTCTGCTTCAGCTCTCTTTGGGTTTGTAATTGCACATCTGTTTTTGTTTATTTTGCCCCTATTTTGTCCTCTTTTCTCTCTTCGTGTTTCTCTGTCTTATCTTTCTGTTTGCGTTCATCAATTTGTGCCCTTCATTGTCTCTTTTTTGCTTCTTTTTTCGCCCTTTTTGTCTCTCCTTCTCTTCTCCATTGTTTCTTTTCTGGCCATTGCATGCTTTATTGTCGGTATCTTTTATCTCATTTTTTCCAGTGACCGCGTTGCCTTTTTTTGGGCCTCTCCACTTTCACGTTTCTTCACCTTTCATCTCCAACTTGCTCCATTTTTTTCTCTTTTCTCGCATCTTTTGTGTCTTGTCTTCTCTTTTCCCTCTCTGTTGCGGATGCTTCTTCGGGCCTCTCCCGGGGCCTCTGTTTGCCGCATTTGTCACTCTGCCTTCTTTTCCAGAATCGCTCTTTGTCTCTTGTTGTCTCCTTTTCTCCTCTTTTTGTTTCTTTTTATCTCCCCTGGCTCTGCTGGCACTTCTTTTTCAATTTCTTGGAATTTCTCGGAATCTCTGCTTGTGCATCTTTATCTCAACTCTGGCGCTACAAATTCTCTTATTTTTGCGTTTATCTTTCTGCTTCGTTTTGGCTTCCCTAGCAGCCTCGCTGGGGCTCTGCGGGCCAATTCTTGTTTGCTGCTGTCACTTTTGCTGCTTTTGTGTTATTGAGGCAATTGTCTGGTCTGTGCAATGCTGCGGGCTCTTACCTCTTCAGGGGCATAATGTGCTCGAAGCTGTGCCACGAGTCTCTTAAGGTGAAGCGGAAGCAGCTGCGGGTGAAGTACCCCGATGGTTTGCTTTTGCTGGCAAACGTGGGGCTGGCGCGGCACTTCACAAGTCCCATTCAGATCGATTTCAGAACAGTCCAGGACCTCTATATAGGCATTCGCCACTCGCCCGCCTTCAACGAAGTCAACAAGATCATCAAGCCTTGTGAGCGACAGGCAGCATTAGGGTTTAGGGTTTAGGTCTACGGGCTAGTGTTTAGGGTTCGGGGTTTAGGTGTAGCTTATAGGAGATAGACCTGGGGGTTCCACTTTTGCCTCTAGATTGGCTGGTTTTAGCTTCTTATCCATAATAGGCATTCCTTTGCCCTCACTGGCCTGTTTAGGTACTGCGCTGAATTTGGGCTGCTAGATCATCAGGGTTTAGGGTTTAGAGTTGGAGGGTTGGGGCTAATGAGCGGCTTTTTACGCCGTCTTTTATTTGTGAGCTGCATTTAGGATTCGGGCCGTAGAGTCGTCGCTCTTTATTTGTAGTTTATTCCTATGTTTCAGATTTCAGGGTTCAGGATTTTGGGTTTAGGGTTTAGGGTTTAGGGTTTGGGCTGTTTTTTTCAGTGAAGCAGCAGCTGCAGGAGAGCCGCTGCTGCGTGCTGGCGACGGTGACGTGCAGCTACTCTTTGCTGATGGACCGGCCCAAAGACTTGGCCGCGCTGTGCGCAGTGGTGGATGTGAGCACTGGGCGACACGGGCCGGCAGTGTGGGAGACTGGGGGTTACACGGACTCGGTCTTTGCCACGGGGCTGCAGGCCGAGCGCTTTTACTAGCTCGGGGCTGCAGCTAGCTGGCTGCGCAAGCAGCTAGCTGGCTAGCTAGCTGGCTAGCTAGTTGTCTGGCTGGCCAGCGACGGGCAGCGGGCACCGTGCAAGGTGAATCTACGAAAGTTCTTACCGGCTTGAACGTATCCCCTGGTGAATTCAGAGGCGCACGTCGAAAGCGAGCCTGTCTAGCTAGCTAGCTAGCTAGCTAGCTAGCTATCTGAAGGCTTCGCTAGCTGGATAGCTACACAACTGGCGTGGTGACGTAGTACCACAGCCGGCTGCCCAGGAGGCAGCACAAATAAATTCAGAAGGTCATCGGGCTTGAGCTACGTCGCCATAAAGCTGGCTGGCGTCTTTGCCAACTAGCTAGCCAGCTAGCTAGCTAGCTAGCTCGCAGTGGGCCTGGCCTGACGCCTGGTGCGGGCATCTCGCCGGCCGCAGCCTGAGGAACTGCAGTCATGCAGCAGCCGGCGTGGGGGCAGCGGCTGTGGCAGCGGCAGCGCAGCGGCAGCAGCGACGACAGCAGCAGCAACCGCGGCAGCGCTGTACAATGAACTAGCTAGCCAGCAATTCGAAAAGCTGGCAATGCGGGCGAGAGGTCAAGCCATTTTTTTCTTGCTTATGTGTATCTTTGTGATCAGCAGCAGCGGCTGCAGGCAAGCTGGTGCGGCTCTTCAGAGCTGCTGCTGGAGAGCAAAGAAGACCCTTGTTCTGGGTCTTGCGAAAACAGTGCACGAGTACTCGTTTGCAAGTGTAGAGTGCTCTGCTTTTTCGGCCGTCTGTTTTCTTGTTTCTTTGCATATTAACGCCACTTGCTGTGGAATATTTCTCATTACTGAGGCAGAACGTAAACAGAACGGCCCGTTGTTTGTGAGAATTGTAAACGTTCGTTTTGAATGGCCTTGCTGGCGGGTCAGCTCCGCAGCATGCCGAAGCGGAGGCGAGCAGCAAACAGGTGAATTCAATGTAAACGGAACAATTTTCTGAAGATAAAATTAAAACAACTACAGCGAGTTCTAAAGTTCACACGCTTGGCAATAAATACTTGAACATGGTGCCATGGACCACCGCTCGCGCCCGAACCCACTGCAAGGTCGGTAATTCTTGAGGGTAAATGAGCTTAACTTGTTTTCTTCCGCCGTTTACTCGTGTTTAAATTTGAAAAAAAGCAGTAAAACAGGTTGAAATGGCTTCATTCGGTTTTCTGCCGCCGTCGAGGTGTTCGACTATGCTCGAGTTCGGGCTAGAAGCAGCGCGTGGGGGTTATCACCGTTCTGGGAGCATGTTTGGACATTATTGCGCTCAAATTGTTTGAAAACGCTGAATTAAAGCAAAAGTCCAATTTTGCTTCACTATTTACTGCTAAATAACGAAGAACTGCCTTCAGGACTCCGAAACTGACCGCCCACGCAGAAGCCCCTAGATCGATCTGCCGGACACTAGTGGGGGCCAAGAAGGAAGTTCCCCGTCCGTTCCAGCTGCCCTCACGGCGTAGCCCTAAACCCTAGCTCCCAAACCCTAAATTGTGGTTTGAGGCTTCCACAGCTTCATCGGGAGTTTCACATCTCCGCTTCGGTGCTCTCCCCTTGCCTGGGGTCGGCCTTTTTATGCTGCTCTGCAGCCCTGCACGTCTGCCCCGCTTCTTTTTAAGCTTGTACAAGAATTATATGTCTTTATTGTTTGATTAAAGGCTACTCAAACTTTCCATTTTTGCAAGGAAAGCCCCCCTCGAGGCTTCTGTGGCCCTCCTGCCTGCAGGCTCACTGAAAGTCCAAAGAGAGGGCTGCGCAGCGGGGGTTTCAGGCAAATCCACGCACAGAATTGCTTCCAGCCAAAATGCCTTCAGCATTTTTTCTTGTTTTATTTCCTGCTGCTGCCTTGGCCTAGACTTCAAGCGCTGCAGCAGCAATGAGCAGCAACTCCGGCTGCGCCTCCAAATGACATACCTGCTGCTGCACTTCCAGCAGCAGCAGCAGCCCAGCAATACAAGTTGCAGCAGAAGCAGCGGCAGCTGCTGCTACCTGCAGCAGCACAAGCTGCAGTAGTAGCTGCAGTAGCTGCAGCAGAAGCAGCCGCAGCAGCTACGGCTGCCGCTGGAGCGGCAGCAGCAGCAGCAGCAGCGCCTGCAGCAGCTGCTGGGGCAATTTGAGCAAGGGCGGCAGCAGCTGAGGCGCCTTTTACATCAACTGGACAACAACTAGCAGCAGCTTCAGAAACTGCTGTTGCTGCAGCAGCAGCTATAGCTGCTGCAGTAGGTGCGGCAGCACTTTCGGCGTCAGCAGCGGCAGCTGCTGCTGCAGCAGCTGCTGAAGCAACTGGAGAAGCGGCGACAGCAGCAGCAGCAGTCTGCGCAGCGACGTCAGCAGCAGCCGCTGCAGCTACAGGGCAGCTTGGTTGTGGGCCAGAGCAGCTGCTGCAGCAAGAGGCGCAGCAGCAGCAACAGAAGCAGCAGCAGCACGAGCAGCAGCAGGGCTGTCTTGGCCATGCGTCACCCTGCTCGTTTGGCGCTGCTGCTCCTGGGGGCCCCCCCTGCCTGCCACTGGGTACTGGGGGGGCCCCCCTTTGCATTTGGCAGGGCTGAAGCACCCATGGGGGCCCCCCATTACTATTTGAGTGGGCTTTCTGCAGAGTTGGCCGTTGCAGAGGTTCAAGGGGGCCCCCCGGGGGGCCCCCAGGGGCCCCCGGCGTCGCTGGGGTCCGGGGAGGCCCCACTGGCCGCTGCAGCAGCAGCAGCAGCAGCAGCAGCGCCAGCAGCAGCAGCAGCAGCAGACATCGAATACAGAATCAACAGAGACGAACTTGAGGGCCTCACCAACTGGTCAACCAGCACTGGGGGCCCCTCTCATGAGGGGCCCCCCAGCGATGGTACCAGCAACCGCAGCTGGGGGCCCCCCAGTGAGGAGGAGGTGCCCTCGGGGGGCCCCCCGGGGGCCCCCCCGGGGGCCCTCGCTTACCCAGAAGCCCCGGGGAGCTCGGCCCTAGGGGCCCCCCGAGTTAGCCTTTTGAAGAGTCGCATCGGGGGCCCCTTGGGGGCCCCCATGGGGGCCCCCGAAGCCACGAAGGCCCCGGAAAGGGGCCCCGAGCCTGGGAAAGCCACAGGTGAGGGCCCCCTGGGGGGCCCCCTGGGGGGCCCCCTGGGGGGCCTGGGGGGCCCCCTGGGGGGCCCCCAGAGCTTTAAGGGGGGCCCCCAGACCCCGGGGACCTCGCGGCGCCCCTGCAGACACACTTCGCTGCGGCTGCATGCAGCAACAGCAGCAAACGAAAAGGCGGGCCGTGCTGCTGTTGCTGCGCTGCTGCGGCTGCTGCTGCGGGTTTTGGGGCTTGCTGCACTTGTGGGGGTTTTCTCCCTCATAGTCAAGAACAACGAGAAGCCGATCAATGTCGGTGGTTGCGCCCGAGGGTTTAGGGTTTAGGGTTTAGGGTTTAGGGTTTAGGGTGGGGTTTAGGGTTTGGGGTTGATGGCATGGGGTTTAGGGTTTAGGGTTTAGGCTCCACGGTTCAGCCTGGGAGGGTTTCATGTCTGCGTATATGGTTGAAGGGGCGCAGCTGTCTTTGAGGGTATAGGGTTTAGGGTTTAGGGTTTAGGGTTTAGGGTTTGGGGTTTACGCTCTGGTGCTTTTGTCCCCTCGTGCCTTCAGGATCCTGTTCTCCTGCTTTGGAACCAGCTAATTAACGGAGGCTGTAAGAGCGAGGGCTTGGGATTTAGGGTTTAGGGTTTAGGGTTTAGGGTTTAGGGTTTAGGGTTTAGCTGTAGCTAGCTGCCTAGCTGGCTGCAGGCTGTCCCTGCTGTTGCTGCTGTATAAGTTACTGTGCTGCTGCTGCTGCTGCTGCTGCTGCAAGCGCGGCTCTTGTTGCCTGCCAGCAACAGAGTTGGTTTCAGCTGCTGCTGCTGCTGTCACTGCTGCTGCTGCTGCTGCTGCTGCTGCTGCAGACGTGTTGCGGTTCGAGTACATGGGCGTTAATCTAGTCTCCAACGTTGCTCGTTATCCAGTGAGCCTCTAAACCCTAAACCCTAAACCCTAAACCCTAACCCCTAGACCCTAAGCCCCGAATCCACTTAAATATAGGGCACGGCCCCAGAGACCCACCGAAAGCCTAATTGTTAATTCTTTGGAGTGATGCTATGCGTAGAGTCTAAGGATTAGGGTTTAGGGTTTAGGGTTTAGGGTTTAGGGTTTAAGATCAGTGGTTTGCGGGGCTGTCTTTTTGGGTGATTTCAGTTTCCTCCCGGGAATATCACTGTGGAGGTGAGCAGCTAGAAACGCTGAGCCCTACAGGCTTAACTCCAAACCCTAAACCCTAAACCCTAAACCCTGATCTTGAGTCTTCAACTCTTTAACTCCTGTCCCCACATTTTAGTAGACCGTCAGTGCTAGTGCTTTGCAAGGGTTTTGTGGAAGTTGAACGTGGTGTGCTCTGGGGAAGGGCTAGGGTTTAGGGTTTAGGGTTTAGGGTTTAGGGTTTGGGGCTTGTGCTGCAGGAATTCAATGCAGTTGCGAATGAGATTGCCCAAAGACTGGATGCATATGTGGCGAAGACGCCCTACGAACGAAGCAGTAAACCCTAAACCCTAATCGCTAGACCCTAAACCCTGATTCCCAGACCCTAGGCCTTAAACGCTGAAAACCCTAAACCCTAATATCTAGACCCTAAACCCTGATTCCCAGACCCGAGGCCTTAAACGCTAAACTTTGAGCCCTAGTGTGTTCGCCTGCTTCGTCTGTCGGGCTCCAGGCCCCAGGCTCGAGGGTTTAGGGTTTAGGGTTTAGGGTTTAGGGTTTGGGTTGCTTCAGAATCTGCCTTCACCGTATTTGGGCCCCGCGGATCTCTAGATAGGATAACTGTGTATGAAGAGGCACGGCGTTTAGATAGGATGGGTATGTATGGAGGTGCACATCGTTTTCAATGAAGTGAAGCAGCAAGGGGCCCCTGGGGCCTCCTCAGGGGCCCCCTAGCCTCGCAGGGGGGCCCCTGGGGCCTCCTCAGGGGCCCCCCAGCCTCGCAGGGGTCTTGTGGGGCCCCCCAAGTGGCTTCTGGGGGCCCCGTGGGGCGAGGCCCCACATTTCAGGTTCCTGGGGGCCCCCGTTAGTCTCTTAGGGCATTAGAGAGGGGCCCCCAAGAAGAGCTTCACGGTGCCCACTGAGGGCCCCAAGAGGGTCCTGGGGGGCCCCGTAAAGGGCCCCCGCACTCCTCAGGCTGCTCTCAGGTGAACCCATGGGGGCCCCCAGGGGGCCCCTGTGGCTGCAGAGTGGCCCTGCGTGGGGGCGGGGCTGTGGGGCCCCCGAGGCCCTGGGGGGCCCCCCTTGGGGCCCTGGGGGGCCCCCCTTGCTCTTTTTGTTTAGGCTTGTGATGCTTAGCCAGGCATAAACGTTAACTTTGCTGCGCTTTGTTTGCGGCTATGCCACACCAGTTTTGGGCTGGCGAGCAGCTAGCCAGCTAGCTAGAGCCCCTCTCAATATTCAGCGTGGCTCGCCCCAGCTAGCTAGCCAACTGGCTAGCTAGCTGCGGGGCTTGCTGCGGCGGAGGCTGGCTCGCTAGCTAGCCACAGTCTTTCTCGACTAACCTTTTATTCAATGAGAAAACACAATTGTGATGAGTTGCAGCAACGTCCTTCCCAACCAGGTGTACGTACACCGCGTGCACGGCCACCAGGTGTATGTACACTTCAGCCCCCGCTGCAGTCCAGCACGCCTGCCGAGGTGTACGTACACCTCAGCGGCGCACACCCCACGCAGCAGGTGCAAAAGAAGTGGCTGCCCCGGGTGTACAGACACCTGGTGTACGTACACCCGGGGGCCCCAAGCTAGGTGTACAGACACCAGCTGCGCAGACACCTCGGGATGCAGCTGCTCCTGCTGCAGCCAAGCAGCTGCTAGTGCTCTAGAGTTTCAGATCAAATGCTTTCTAGCTGAACTGCAACAAGCCAAAAGCCCCTCTACTGGCGCACGTACACCAGGTGTATGTACACCCGGTGAACGTACACCCGGTGAACGTACACCAGGTGTACGTACACCAGGTGTACGTACACCAGGTGTATGTACACCGAGTTTTTGCAGGCATTCGGTCAAATAAAACCCGCAAACAGTTTTTCATTTGTGTCAGTGTATGGACCCTGGGCAGAGCGCTCCCCAGGTGTACGTACACCAGTTGCTGCATTGAATGCTTTGAACTAAATCGAAGCTGCTGCAGCTTCTGGAAGTGTTCGGTTCTTGTTGCTGCCGCGCCACTTGCTGCTGCCGCCCCTGCTGCTCTCAGCTCGCTGGCCTTTTCCTGCTGCTGCTGCTGTTGCTGCTGCTGCTGCTTTGCGACCCTCCTTAAGTTTCTTCGCGGGTGCACTTGGCTGATGCTTCTTGGTGCTGAAGCCCTGCTGCTGGCGGGGTCGCTGCTTCTGCTGCTGCTGCTGCTGCTGCTGCTGCCGCTGCTTGCCGCCCGCTGCTGCTTCTGCTGCTGGCTTTCGCCGCTTGAAGGTGAAAGGGTTGTACCTGTGGGGCCCCACAGCGCCTCTCAGACAGCTAGGGTTTACATCTACGGCTTGTGCTCTACTGGACACCTCACCCCTGTGTACTAGGGTTTAGGGTTTAGGGTTTAGGGTTTAGGGTTTAGGGTTTGGCTTACTTTGGCCTTTTGCGGCTATCTTCTTCGGTCTCAGAATATTGTGAGGCAGCTTCGTCTTCACTCGGGCTTTCTGTTCTGCTTCTCTTGTCTCTCTTCTTGCTGCTGTTCTGCTGCTCCTCGTCTGCTGCTGCTGCTGCTGCTGCCTGCTTCGCTGCTGCTGCTGTCTTGTCCTTCCGCTCCAGCAGCTGCAGCAGCTTCTGACGCTCCTCCCTGTGAAACAACAGCGAAGCAGGACTCTTGCTGCTGCTGCTGCTGCTGCACTTGCTGCTGCTGCACTTGCTGCTGCTGTTGCTGCAGTGCGCTGTCTGCCTGTGATCGCTGCCCTTCAAAAGATCTGTGACAGACTGAGACCTAAACCCTAAACCCCAAACCCTAAACCCCAAACCCTACATCTTAAACCCTAAATTCTAAACCCTAAACCCTCACTCTCTCTTGGCCCTTAACAACTGCTCCTTCTTCTTGAGGGCCTTTAGCTCCTCCGGAGTCTTCAAAATGTGCTTGTGGTACAACACTGCAGCAGCAGCAGCAGCAGCAGCAGGTGCAGCAGCAGCAGGAATAACAGCAGCAGCAACTGAAGTATAAAAGGAGCAAAGAATTCAAAAGCAGCGTTTGCAGCAGCTGCAGCAGCAGCTGCAGCAGCAGCTGCAACAGCGGCACCTGCAGCAGCCGCTGCAGCTTAGCAGCTGCACCCAGAAAGCAGCATTTAGGGTTTAGGGTTTAGGGTTTAGGGTTTACCTTTGCCCGTGCAGACGTCGTCTTCTATCTTGAAGAGTTTCAGTTCAAGTCTGGGGCCAATCTCCCTTAACTGGACTCCCATAGACAACTCTTGCTGCTGCTGCTGCTCCTCCTGCTGCAGCTGCTGCTGCACTTGCTGCTGCTGTTTGCTTGGGAGAATAACCTGCAGGAAGCTGCGCTTGGAGATGCGAGAGGGTCCCGTGGCTGGATCGAACATGACTTGCTGCTGCTTCTGCTGCTGCTGCTGCTGCTGCTGCTGCTGCTGCTGCTCTGCTGCCAAAAGCAAGTCGCATGCGTCTTCCCGCTTCTGCTGCAGCTGCTGCAGCAGCAGCTTCTGTGCTGCACCTCCAGCAGCAGCTCGCAGCACATTTTCGACTCCGGCAGTCAAGTTTGCTGCCTTCAGCGAAACAGCATAGTGCCTAAACTCAAAGCTCAACCCGTTGCTGCTGCTGCTGCTGCTGCTGCTGCTGCTGCTGCTGCTGTTCTTGTTGCTGCTGCTAGTGCCGTCAGCCTCAGAGACACAACGGAAAAACGCGACGCGACGGAAGTCGTTTAGCTGCGCCCACAAAACCCTAAACCCTAAACCCTAAACCCTAAACCCTGAACCCTAAACCCTAAACCCTGAACCCTAAACCCTAAACCCTAAACAGCAGGGTACGCTTATATGCCCAGTGCCCCATTTGGAGGGTTTGGCTTTGCAGTGAACAGCTGCAGCAAATGCCGAGACTTTCAAACTGCAAATTGGGGTTTAATTCTAGGGTTTAGGGTTTAGGGTTTAGGGTTTAGGGTTTGTCACTTTGGCTGTGCGAAGGTCTACAGGGGCGAAGAGAGAGCGGAGCATTGAAGTGGTGAGCTGCAGAGCTTCAGCAGCAGCCAAACCCTCGCTGCCCTGTTTGCTGCTGCTGCTGCTGCTGCTGCTGCTGCTGCTGCTGCTGCTGAGGACCAGCACCGGGGGTTTGCGGAGGTCTTTGGGGTCCAGCCTGGCGCCGCCGACTTCCTTTTGAACATCACTAATTAAGCTAAACCCTACGACCTGCAGCCGCAAACCCTAAACCCTAAACCCTAAACCCTAAACCCTAAACCCTAAACCCTAAACCCTTAAAGTCACCTCCTAAGCCCTACACTCCGCAGCAACTGGCCTTGAGTTCTTGCTGCTTGCTTGAGGCGCTGCTGCAGCCCCCTCTCCAGCCTGCAGCTTCAGCGGTCTAGGGCCTAGGGTTTAGCGCTAGGGTTTAGGGTTTAGGGTTTAGGGTTTGCCTGGAAGGTGACTGTGGGCCCCCGGGGGAGGCGCGCGACCTTCAAGTAAAGGCCGTTGTCCGTCTGCGTGAGGGTTTGGAGGTGAGTGACCCCGAGAGCAGCAGCAGCAGCAACAAAGTCTTTGGTTTTATTTTTTCTTTTTTCTTTCAACTTTGCTGCTACTTGGGGCCCCACGACGCAGCGCCAGTCCCGCGCCAGCAGCCGCGCAGCAGCAGCAAGCCGCCCGCTGCGAACGACGATGCTCGCCGGCCTGCTGCTGCTGCTGCTGCTGCTGCTGCTGCTGCTGCTGCTGCTGCTGCTGCTGGGGGCCTTGGAGAGGGAGCCTGCGGCCGCGCGCACCCGCTGCCGCTGCTTCTTCTTCGCTGCACGACGACGGGACATTGTGCTGCTGCTGCTGCTGCTGCTGCTGCCGCTGCTGCTGCTGCTGCTGCTGCTGCTGTCGATGCGCCCACGCAGTTAGCGGTCAAGCGCGCTCAGTGAAGGCAGGCATAGGGTTTAGGGTAGGGTTTAGGGTTTAGGGTTTAGTAAGAACAAGATCCAAGAAGAGGTGAGGGTTTGGGGCCCCCGAAGGCAGAAGGCTCTTCAAAGGCTGTGTGGGGCCCCCAGGATGCTCCGGCCGAAACCCTAAACCCTAAACCCTAAGCCCTAAACCCTAAATCTTGAAATCTATTCCTAAATAATGTTTTGATTTCCAATGTTTTCCTATGATTGGACAAATAAGGGAAGCCGCTAGGAGATCAAACCCTAAGTCCTAAACCCTAAACCCTCTGAACCTGAAGGCCCCAGCAGCTACGGGGCTGTCCAAGGGGGCCCCTCCACAGAAACCCTAAACCCTAAACCCTAAACCCTAAACCCTAAGCCCTGAACTGTAGACCCCAGAGAGTGATTTTCTTTTATTCCTATTCTTGTTCACCGTTTTTCTGACCTTCCTGGGGACTCATGCTTCGTGTTTCCTTTGCAAGCTTTAGGGTCTAGGGGTCTAGGGGTTTAGGGTTTAGGGTTTAGGGTTTAGGGTTTTAGGATGAGTCTAAAGACCTGCGCACTGCCAAGGGACTTTCTTTACTTTGATAGCTGGTTCGGTTTGCTGCCATCATTTGCTGCTGCAGCGCAGCAGGGCAGCAGCAGCAGCTGCTTTGACGAGTTCTTTGGCTGGCGGCTGGCTGGCATAAACGCCTTCACCCTGCACAAAGTGCACCACGCAAGTAGGGTTTAGGGTTTAGGGTTTAGGGTTTAGGGTTTGGACTCCTGAGGCGCGAGAGAGGCCTCTAAGCTCCTGTCATCAGAATTATTGGGTTCGGGGTTTAGGGTTTAGGGTTTAGGCTTCAGCGTCTAGGGTTTGGGGTCTATGGCTTGGGAAGGAAGGCCTTACGGACTAAAGTTTTAGGCTCTAGGGTTTAGGGTTTAGGGTTAAGGGTTTAGGGTTTAGTGTTTAGGGCTTGTGGTTCAGATGAGGACATCAGTGGCGTTTGGATGCGTGGCTTAGACCGTCTGCTGCAGTGCCGCGCTGCAGCAGCAGCACCAGCAGCAGATCGGCCGCGGCTGCTGCTGCAGCTCTTTCTGCAGCAGCACCCCCCAAATGATGTTTGGAAGTATCGCTCCCCGCCTCAACTATAACAGCAGCAGCAGCAGCAGCAAAGGCAGCAGCAGCAGCAGCAAAGGCAGCAGCAGCAGCAGCAAAGGCAGCAGCAGCAAAGGCAGCAGCAGCAGAGGCGGCAGCAGCAGCAGCAAGCGGGTGCCCGCAAAGCTAACCGCAAACTCTAATGCGCACCACACAGGCACTCGAGGAGCTGCTCCTTGCTGCTGCAGCACCCCAACACAGCAGCAGCAGCAATAGCAGCAAGGAAGCAGCAGCAGCAGCAGCAGCAGGAAGAGGTAAGCTGCCCTGGGGAGACTTGTGCCTTCTGCTGCAGCAGTGGGCAGAGTTTAGGCATCAGCAGCAGCAACTGTGCTCCCAGCTGCAGCAGCTGCAGCAGCAGCGAGACCTATTCGCAGACGCAGCAGCAGCAGCAGCGGCGGCTAGCGCAGCAGCAGCAGCTAAAGCAGCAGCAGCAACAGCGCATGCAGAAGCAGCAAACATTTCAGATATTAGCGAGACAAATCCTCTTAGGGCACTGGAACTCTTTGATTCACTCCTGCAGCAGCAGCAGCAGCTGCTGCCACAGCAGCGGCAGCAGCAGCAGCTGCTGCAGCAGCAACAACGCTGCAGCAGCAAGGTGTTGACAGCAGCAGCAGCTGCAGCCCCCGACTCGCTCGAGTGCATGCTGCTCTTCCTAGACGACCAAGTGGCAGCAACAAAAGCACGAATAGCTGCAGCAGCAGCAGAACTCAGCAGCAGCAGCAGCAGCAAGGCCCTGCAGATACAGCTGCTTGCGCAGGCTGCTGCTCAGTCAGTTTTCCCACGGCGGCACGCAGCAGTAGCTGCTGCTGCTGCTGCAGCAGCAAAGAAAAAGGGAAAGCAGAAGGCCAAGAAGAGCGCCGCTGCTGCTGCAGTGACGAACGTGGAGCGGCAGCAGCAGCAGCAGGATCAGCAGCAGCAGCAGCAGCAGCAGCAGCAGAGGGAGCTGACTGCGGAGGAGGCGGCAGCAGCAGCAGCAGAAGCAGCAGACCTCCAGGAGGTAGCTGCAGCATGTGACACGCTGCTGCGCGCAGCAAGGGCCTACGCTGCCTTTGCTGCTGCTGCTGCTGCTGCTGCTGCTGCAGCAGAGCCCCTCACGGCCAGCTTCGAAGAAGCAGTGGAGGCTCTCCCCTCGCTTGCAGCAGCAACAGCTATCGCGCAGCGAGCAGCAGCAGCAGCAGCAGCAGCAGCTGAGGGCGAGGAGGACTAGCGCCCAGCAGCAGCAGCAACAGCAGCAGCCCAGCAGCAGCAGCAACAGCAGCAGCCCAGCAGCAGCAGCAACAGCAGCTGCTGCTGCACATTCCTGCTGTGCCCTCTTATGTGCTTCAGTCGTCTGCTGTTTAGGCGCTGCAGCAAAGGACTCGAGCAAAGGCTTAGGGTTTAAAATTTGGGGTTTAGGGTTTAGGGTAGGGTTTAGGGTTTAGGGTTTGAAGCGTAAAGTCCAAGGTCTAGGGTTTAGGGTTTGAAGCCTAGGGTTTAGGCTTGGGTTGCGCAGCGCAGCAGAAACGCAGCAGCAGCTAGCTGCTGCAGCACGAGCAGCTAGCCGCCCATCTCCATCGCTAGCCACAGCTAGCCAGTGGGAGTCGTTGGCTATGTAGGGAGGCGGCCAGCTAGCTAACTTGATAGCCAGCTAGCTAGCTAGCCAGCTAGCTAGCTAGCCAGCTAGCTAGCCATGCGGCTACGGCTATTGAAGGCACAAAGCCCTTGTCTCGTTCGCCCGCTGATCGCTGGGCCCCCACAGCTAGCTTGCAACCGGCTAGCTAGCTAGCTAGCCAGCTAGCTAGCTAGCTAGCTAGCCAGCTAGCTGGCTAGCTAGTCAGCAATGCAGCTGGCCAGGGGTCGGTATGTAGGCAGCTTGCCCAATGGGTAGCTGCCTAGGTAGCTACGGAGCTAGCTAGCTAGCTTATTGGCGAGCGAGCCCTGCGTGGCCCGCAAAGCTGAGTCCCTACAGTTTGCCAGCACCGCAGCAGCAGCTAGCCAGCTAGCTGCCCAGCCAGCCAGCCAGCCAGCCAGCCAGCCAGCCAGCCAGCCAGCTAGCTAGCTAGCCAGCTAGCTAGCTAGCTAGCTAGCTAGGCAGACGGCCCAGGAGAGGCCCCTCAGCGCGCGCCGAGGCCCCCCAGCTGCTTCATCATTTCCTGCATGTCTCCCATCTCCCCCGACTGGAACTGTACATACACCGCAGCAGCAGCAAAAGGCGTCGCTTTGATATCCCTGGCTAGCTGCAGCACGCCCTGGCAGGCAGCTGGCTAGCTGCAGCGAGCTGCAGCTAGCTGCGGCTAGCTGCAGCTAGCTGTGTCTAGCTGCAGCCAGCTGCAGCCAGCAGCTAGCTGCGGCTAGCCGCGGCTAGCTGTGTGTAGCTGGAGCTAGGTGGAGCTAGCTGCGTCTAGCTGGAGCAAGCTGGCGCCAGCAACTAGCCGTGGCTAGCTGCGGGCAGCCGCGGCTAGCCGTGGCTAGCCGTGGCTAGCTGGCGCACTTCCTTGAGAATGTTCACGATGTTGCCCGGCCCGCCTATCTGCTTCAGCAGCCGCGGGTCAACAGCAGTTTGCATCTTCTGCAGCAGCTGGCTGGGGTTGCGCGCGAGCGACTGCAGCGAAGACTCTTTCGTGAGGCCCGCGCGGCCCATCTTCGCCACCATTTTGCTGAACCTGCGAGCCCGCAGCCACAAAGGCGAGCTGGCTAGCTAGCTAGCTGGCTAGCTGGCTAGCTGGCTGGCTGGCTGGCTGGCTGGCAGGCGGGCTGGCTGGCGGGCTGGCTGGCGGGCTGGGCTGGCAGTCGCGTTCGCTGGCTAGCCAGACAGCCGACGGTACTGCCGGCCAGCTAGACAGCTAGCCAGCTAGCTAGCTAGCTAGCTAGCCAAGGGGAGCACAGCCTTCTTGCCAGCTAGCAAAGGGATACCGAGCCCGATAAACAGCCAGCTACAGACCCAGCTAGCCCAGGGATGCACAGCTAGCTAGCTAGGTAGCCAGCTAGCCACAGCTAGCCAGAGGCACGTGAACCACAGGAAACTGACTTCTTACTAACCAACTGAGCAACTAATCGCCGAATCGATTAGCCAATTACTTTATTCACAAACCGATCAACTAGCTAACTGAACAAGCCAACCAATCAGCCACCAAGTGACAAATTATTTTTTACTTATTTATTTATTTATTTATTTATTTATTTATTTATTTAATAGACGTACTGCTTGTGCTGCTCCAGCAGCAGCCGCACTTCGGCCACAGAAGTGCCGGAGCCCTTAGCGACCCTCAAGATGCGGGAGTCTGTGAACTGCTTTTCGCAAGCAAGTTCTGCAAAAAAGGGAGGAAAGCAGTGGAAACTGGCGCAAAAATTGGAATTAGTGGATTGAATTTGATAAAAATGAATTAAATTTGATTTATTTTATTTATTTTAAACAAAAATTCGCGCAGATTCCGCCGTTTTACCCTCCTTCGTCATTGAATCCATTGCGCACGTCAGCCGCTTCAGCCGCTGCGCCGCCATCCGCTCCTGGCCCTTGGGAATTAAATTTGAACCCAATCCCGGGATCATACTCATCACCTAAACGCAAACCCTAAACCCTAAACCCTAAACCCTAAACCCTAAACCCTAAACCCTAAACCCTAAACCATAGACGCTGAGCGGCTGCGTGGTGGCGCGTTGCGCTGGCGGGCAGAGCAGCGGCGCCTGCCGCGCTTTCGGGTGCATGACAGCAATTAGTTTTGCATTTAAACTATTCTTTTTTGCATTTTTTGGACTAAAAATTGGAAATGAATAATAATTGCAACTTGATCGGCCTTTACCTTGCTTATGGGCCCCATCTTGAGGACATTTTGGACCTGTTCGTACATGTCCTGCAGCGTGAATTTCCCCTTCGAAATGCGATCGATCATCTGCTGCTGCTTCTCCACAGATATCACTTCCTTAAGGCTGCTCACCAGCCCCCCCACGTCGCCCAGCCCTGTAGGCAAACGGCAGATCAACCTCATCTAGCCAATTAATTCAATGACGAGTAAATAAATAAATAAATAAATAAATAAATAAATAAATATAAATAAATAAATTAATTAATTAATTAATTAAATGGCTATTCAGCTGGCCGCCTGATTTTCGACGTCTTTGGGTTGCACTTTGCTTAAGAAAGCGTCGACATGCAAATCAGCAGAGGAACACGCGGAGGAGTGAGCGGACGAATGAAAGAATAAATAGAAGAGCAAATGAATAGGGAAATAAACAAATGGATAAATAAATTAAGAATATATTAATTAACGAGTTTACTAATTATTCTCTCTCCAAATGAAGAAGGCAAAGGCGAATCCACGGCTCTTTCGTTCAACAACAAATGCAAGAATTTCAAGTAGGCCGCCGACCAGATAGGCGGACGAACAAACGACTGCTTAAACGACAAAAAATAATTTAAAATGCAAAAAGTAAATAAATATAAATGTTTTGCAGAATAAGAAATGGAAATTACGAAAAAGAGCGGCCACTTTAAGCCCGAGATCGAAGAGCAGACAATTTGAATGAATGGGGAAGCAGTCGGCGGCGAGCCGTCGAATTGTGAGTGGAAGGCAATGCGAAATAACAAATATTAATTAAATAAATGATTAATAATTATAAATGCAAATAAATAATAAATTAAAATAAAAAAGAACTCACCAAGAAGCCTCGAGACAAAGGAATTCGGATCGAAGGGCTCAAAGTCGTCGAAGTGTTCGCCGCTGCCCAAGAATATAATTGGCGCTCCCGTTGCAGCGACGCTGCAGCATCAAACCCTAAACCCTAAACCCTAAACCCTAAACCCTAAACCCTAAACCCTAGGTCCGCGGCCCTGGATAGCAGCTAGGTTGGCGCGAGGCGTGAGACTCCAGGCTCTACTGAGAGCATAGCAACGCGACCTCTCCCAACACCATTAGGGTTTAGGGTTTAGGGTTTAGGGTTTACGCAGAAAGAGCCCCCCCTCCCTTGGCGTGGCCGTCCAGCTTTGTTATTATGACACTTCCCACAGAAACACTAGAAGCAAAAGCAGCAGCTTGTTCGTAGCAGGCCTGGCCTATGTGCGAGTCCACCACCAGCACTATGTCGTCGGGGGCCTGAAACCCAAACCCTAAACCCTAAACCCTAAACCCTAAACCCTAAACCCTAAACCCTAAACCCTCAATAAACGCTAAACCCTAACCCTGGTGGCGCCGAGCTGCGCACAAACGAGCCCCCATGCTCGTGCGGAACCGTGGGCAGCAGGCAGCAGCCAGCCGGATGTTGTTCATTCCAAACCCTAAACCCTAAACCCTAAACCCTAAACCCTAAACCCTTACCACTGCTTCCGCAACTTGCTGCATCTCTTCGAAAAGCGCCGCCTCCTGTCGGTGCCTCCCCGAAGTGTCCACAATCACCAAATCATATTTCTCATCTCGAAACTGCTGCACTCCCTCCACAGCAATCTTCACGGGGTCCGCCTCCGTGTAGCTGCGCAAACCCTAAACCCTAAACCCTAAACCCTAAACCCTAAACCGCAGAGCCAGGAAGCGCGCACCGGCGCCGTTCTGCGCCGCCGCCTCAATGCAGACTCTGGACGCGAAAACCCAGCAATGAGGGCTCACGCGTCAGAATACGAGCCTACGGTTTAGGGTTTAGGGTTTAGGGTTTAGGGTTTGGGGTTTACCTGCCAAAGAAGGGTATTCGGGCCTTAGTGGCGCTTTGCTTCAGCTGGTCAAAAGCACCAGCTCTAAACGTGTCTGCGCAGACCAGTGCCGTGCGGTAGCCTGCAGCAGCAAATCAAAAAGAAAGAAACAATTAAATAACAATTAAAAGTCACAGCAGCAGCAGCAGCAGCAGCAGCAGCAGCAGCAGCACTGCAGCGCGTCGCCGGCAGCGCCGCAGCAGCATCACAGCAGCAACACGAGTACCGGAGCCGCCACCACAGCAGCAACAGCACCACCCCCACCAAGCAGCAGCAGCAGCAGCAGCAGCACAACAGCAGCAGCAGCAGCACTACAGCAGCAGCACCACCAGAATCAGCAGCAGCAGCAGCAGCATCCCCAGCAGCAGCAGCACAACCCCCACCAGCAGAGCACCACCACCGCCACCACCACCACAGCAGCAGCAGCACCACCAGCACTCCCCCCACCACAGCAGCAGCAGCACCACCCCCGCCACCACCCCAGCAGCAGCAGCAGCAGCAGCAGCAGCAGCAGCAGCAGCAGCAGCAGCAAACCTTTGCGCTGGTAGTGCAGCGCGAACTTGGTGCAGGTGGTGGTTTTGCCCGCGCCCTGGAGGCCCACGAACATCACCACATTTGTGCTGCCGCGCTTCAAAGCCCGCGGGCTTTTGCTGGGAGTCACCAGCGCAGCCAGCTCCGCCACCACGCACTGCAGCAGCAGCAGCAGCAGCAGCAGCAGCAGCAGCAGCAGCAGCAGCAGCAGCAGCAGCAGCAGCGGCGGCGGCAGAGGGGAGTTAGAAGCGGGGGGCCGGTCGTTTTGGCTGCTGCTCACTCGGCCTAGCTGCTGCTGCTGCTGCTGCTGCTGTTGCTGAGCAGCTGCTCTAAAAGCTCGCCCCACATAAGCCAGAGACTGCAGCGCCCTGGCTAGCTAGCTGGCTAGCTAGTTCGCTAGCTGGCTATCTGGCTAGCTAGCCAGCCAACGAACCTGCTAGCCAGCTAGCCAACTAGCTAGCTTGGTCACTAGCTAGCTAGCTAAACAGCTTGCATGCAGACGAAAGCGCCAGGCACAGCTGTGGCTAGCACCAGCTAGCTGTGGCTAACTGTGGCTAGCTGTGGCTAGCTGCAGCCACCTGCAGCTAGCCGTGTCTAAAGCTGTAGCTGCAGCAGGTGGCTAGCTGCAGCTAGCTGCAGCTAGCTACAGCTAGCTGTGGCTAGCTGAAGCTAGCTGAAGCTAGCTGTGGCTAGCTGCAGCTAGCTGCAGCTAGCTGCAGCTAGCTGTGGCCAGCCGTGGCTAGGTATGGCCAGCTGTGGCTAGCTGTGGCTAGCTGTGGCTAGCTGCGGCTAGCTGTGGCTAGCTGCGCCCACCTTTTGAATAATGCGTCTGGTGTTGACTCCTGCTGCTGCTGCCTGTATGTACACCTCAGCCATGACGTCGCCCTGGGGCCCCGCGGGCCCCACAGTGCCGCTGGC